ACGCGCGCCGACTTGTCACACGGGTCAATGCGCTAACACGCCGCGCGCGCTCTCTCCGCGCTCGAAGATACGTCTCGTGCTCTAATTTTTGGGATGACCACGTGAGAGGGAAGGGTCGCGCGGGGAAACGCAACGTATATTTTCAACCAAGCGTGGGAATCACATCGCACGCTGGCACTTGCAGGCTCGCCGGTAGCCCGCATTATGCACGGGTGCAGGCGCGTGCATACACACATACACAGTGACGTGGGCCATCGTATACGCGGCCGGAATATGCATACAGATATCATTCGGGGGGAAAGCCCTCGGTTTGTTGCTGTTGATACACAGACGACACACATACAAACCGGCGGATACCACCGCGGCAGCGTGTCGGTATGCGGAGCGCCGCAGCGCGCGCGCGCGCGGTGCGAGCGTTCATTTACAGAAAACTTTTCATCCGATACTCATCTCGGGTTTATAATTTTAAGCTCTGTTCGCCTCTCTGAAATTTACTTACAGGAATCACGCGTCCCAGAAAGAACGCACGCTAGCCGAGAGCAGCGCAGCGGAAACCGCGGGAATTCCACGGAAGTAGCGCGAGATTAACGCGGCAAAAATTGGGCAAAAATTCGCGCGACTTGCCGCGACTCGCGAAGGCCCGCTCTGCCGCCATTCGCGTTGCGTTGCATCGCCCTCGCGCTCACGCGCGATACCCCGATAACGAGTGGGCATCATTTAATCGCGGTCGGAGCGACCGGTATTAGAAGTAACCAGAGAGCGCGCCTAATCCAGCGTAAATGATCGTCGCTAAAATTTCATTAGAATTTATCCCCGACTCGGGCGGGCCCGCTTCTCCCCTCTCGGATACGAGTCGCACTCCCCGAGCTTATTTCGCGATATCTCGGGATATATACGTACATGTACACACACACACACACATATATAACGACGACTAATCCACGGATGAAATTAGACGCGACGGGTGAGCCACGCGGGACCGCGCACTCGGCGAAGGAAGTTAACAAATTGGCGACACATGGGAAATCTTAGGTATCTTTATTTCTTCAGCACGGCCCTCCAGCACTTACGGATGCATGGAGGTCTCTCTTCTCTTTCTTCTCGCCAGCCATGCCAGCTATACTCGAGGAATTTCCCCACGTAGCGCGGCGTGCGTTTCCCTCGCGCTCTCGAGGCGCGCGCGAGTTTGTCTCATCGTTTGTTATATAATAGCGCGGACGCGACAATCGGTCACGCGGGGCTCGCGCGACACTTGCCATTTGAAGCTGTACGAGCCGCGAGGCTCGCAGAGAGCGGCTACTCCCACCGCGGCTTATTACGTGGCTTATTTTTGCCGGGAGTGTCGTCGATGTTGCCACGCGCGCTTCCTCCTCCACGCGAGTGAGGGATTTTGGGGGGATTTTACGGACGAGGAAGGCCTCGAACTCCGCGCTCGAATAATGGACTTGTTTCCGTGGAAGGGAATATTATTGATTTTCGTCGATACTTGTTAATTGCGATTTGTTGTAGCGTGCCGCTTTTGGGGTTTACCGAGATCGATTGTTGGACAGTGGCGGGGGGAGGGAGGGAGGGAGGGGAGGGGGAAAGCGGAAAGGGACTAACGAGGGACGAGGGGCAGTCGCGCGCCGTATCACGGTGAACGGTGAATCGATAATCGTTACATCGTGTAGAATCGCGCGCGCCGCAAAACGATTAACGGCAGTTTTTTAATTGGACGCATTTCCGCGGAATTCGATGGAAAACATTTCGTCGGACCGTTTGGAACACGAGAGTGTGCGCCGGGGAAATAAACGAACCGCGCGCGGCCCTCATACCCGCGATCTTCATCGTTCACATTAATGCAGCGCGCGCGCGCGCGCGCGCGCGTGCTCCTCGGCAAATAAAAGCGCAAATGAAGCGCGTGTGTGTTGGTGGAATACGCGGTTACAAATTAGTACACGATGACTGTGGAGGTGTTGCAATCACGGAGATTTATAAATCAGCGGATATGCCGGTTAATAAATTTGTGCAAGTTGTTTTAATCGCTGTCGGATTATTTATCGCAATCTCTCCGCAACGTATGCACACACGCACACGCTCGTATGCGCGTATCTGCGAGCATTGTGCTTCCGGTATCAATGTATGTATATTTCCATAAGAATGAAACCACCAAACGAACGTTCCTCCCTTCCTCCGTGCCCCCTTCGTGCCCGATCGCGTTAATTTCGTGTGTCAAAAAGTCGTCGGTTAATCTCCCGCGAGCGCAAACATCCTTCGCGTAATGAGACGACGTGCAAGAAAAGGGTTTAGAGAAATTCTTTGCTCCTCATTGATTTTCACGGACTTTGAGTATCGTAAAGCGACAGAGAATTTTGATTACGTAGCCGTGTATCTTTTTTATTTTAGCTGACGGTTTAAGGGTCGAAATAGTTCCTCCCCAAGGTAAGAAGAAAGTTTAATTTTCGGCGCGCACTTTTTATCAAAAGAGAGGTGTATGAGGAAATAGTTTAGGTCAAAGTTTGATCTCTCGTTTTACGGTCGCGATGAACTTTAGAATAATTTTCAAAGTCCCAAGAACACGTCATTGTGCAAACTCTAGTCTGTCGAGTGATAGGACACGTCTCGAACTCTTCTGAGATTGGCTCTGACAAGTGACACCCAACCCAACTGTCACTCACCGATTCCAATGAAATTTGGCATGCACGTAGAACATTGAAAAATATTGAACACGTGTTTTTTTATATCGCTCGACAATGCATTTTAAGGGTATCTTCCATTGAGAACTAGTCAGTAAGGGGTTTTTGGGCTCGCTGCTTACGAATCTGGAGATAAAATTACAAAATTCAAGATGGCGGAATATGACGCAATATGACCTGATCGGAATTGTACCAGTGAAGGAGGGATATTGCCTCAGGCAATTACATTTACTGATTTTAACAATGAATCGGTATTCAAAACTGACCTGTCGCGTCAGTTTTTTTCAGATTAGGAAGTTGGTCTACCAAAAGATTATTATCCGTCAGTATCCGAGCGGAATATGTAAAGATATTCTGACATATGGTATGTGTTGATAAGATATAGATAAAGATATTTTGATCTCTTATGCCTTATATTTATTCATTTATTTATATTTATTCTATTTATTTATATATTTATTCATATTATTCATTCATATTATTTATTTAAATTCTGGACTTGAACAGCAAAAAATCTACTGATGTTCAAAACGTTAATCTTAACGTCCAGAAAATTTATATAATTAATATCCTTGAAAGTTTACAATAAACCTTCTTAAAAATCTTACAAATAAAACACATTACAATAATAATAATAGTAATAATAAAGTGCGAGAAACGAATTATGTTTTGACTTCCAACTTCAGATTCGTAATTAGAGGCCTCAAAAACCTCCAGATACCAAAATTGGTTTGAATCAGCCATCTTTTTACAATTTCGCTCCGTCATCTCGAATTTTGTAATCTAATCTCCAGATTCGTCGAATCAGCGACCTTAAAAACCTCTCCCTGACTAGTTCAATGGAAGACAAGTGGAAGATGGAAATCACATGTAATATGTGCAAAGAGTTGAAATAATGCTTTCATGTCCAGGGATCAAGGGGGTGATTTCTACCCTTAAAATGCGTTGTCAGCCGATATAAAAAGACACGTGTTCAATATTTTTCTACGTGCATGCCACATTTCATCGGAATCGGTGAGTGACAGTTGGGTAGTGTTACTTGTGAGCTAGAATTCATTTCGTTTCGATTTACGCATCGCGTGTTAGTTCGGCGAGAGCGGCTTAACGGAGGGAAACATCGCCATTAAACGCGGATAATACAGCCGAGCTGGTCCCGCGTTTCATCGTCGTCGTCATCCTGTCTACGGTGCGACGCAATTCACGTGAAAAACGAGCGACGCGTCGCGTCACGCGATGACTTTTCAAAACGACCACGAGTGGAGGGGCCCGCTCTGTCCGAAAAACACCCGCATAACGGAGAGGGAGGGAAACTTTCGAATTCCGTCGGTCTCGCGTGATAGTTCCGTGCTACCGGCTGCTGGACGTGGTTAATAAAAGCGCGAACGGGGTCCTGGAAATTAGCCCGCGTTCCCGCCGAAGTGTGTGCGAAGTTTAATATTTGCTCGTCGGAAACGTGCGAGCGCGCGTGCGCGCAGACGGGCGATAATAATGCACAGTGCACGAAAATGCAATTACGCGGCATAGATTTACGCGAGAAGCGTTTCACGTCCGCGGAAATGTAAGTAAGGGCCTGCAAAGAGGAATTAAATACCCGGCGCTTCCGACTCGCACGCGCGCGCGCGCGCGCGCGCGAGAACTCGTTCCTGAAAAGCTTCTTTGCGAATACCCTTTGAAACGGTACATGCTCGCTCGCGTCCGCCCGTCATCGCGCACACGGTGATCAAAATTGACGCGACGCTGATACAAAACGCAATTTCATCTCGTTTACCGCGTTCCCCGGAGTGCGTACATAGTATGACAAATGCGCTGGCGAAAGAGAGAGAGAGAGAGAGAGAGAGAGAGAGAGAGAGAGGGAGAGAGAGAGAGAGAGAGAGAGAGCGGTTAAAAACGAGGGAAAAGGAATCGAGGCCCACGCTCTCTGGGAAATTTTGAAAATCGCGCTTTAATTTCGTATAAGTTGGAATTACCACGAGCGCGCATGTGAGAGCGCGCGCAGCAGTTGGAGATTGGATTTACGTTTACGGGATACAAGTGGAGCGCAACAGAAATCATGGCGGACAAATTAATAATGCACGGAACTGTTGAATTTATGCAAACAGCAAATAAATTGAAAAAAAAAAGAAATAGAAACAGAAAAAGGAGAGAGAGAGAGAGAGAGAGAGAGAGAGAGAGAGAGAGAGAGAGAGGATGGAAGAGAGACGTGGTCTCGTGGCGTAGAGGTTTTTCTGAGATTTTGACAATTGGTTCGACGGAAAATCCTTGTTATCCTTTTCGGTCCGTAGAATTTTCGATACTAAAAATGATGTGCAATAAGTGCACGCTCACCCTTTGAGGTACGCCCACCCTTGCGCGAGCGTGCCTGGGAGAGCCTTGGGTCTGGCCTTGTTTCTCTTTTCTGTGGGTTTTCAATCCTCGTAGCAGCCTCGAAAACGTTGTCTTTTTCTTGCTGGTATTTTGTCCTTGCTCTATAACATAGAAATAAAAAAGCGATCAGTAATTTTATCATTGCATTGCCGCGATATTGGAGCATCATGTGGACACAATGCGCGATAGAAAATCTCGTTATCGCGACAGAAGCGCGATGATTGATTTTCGTACATTGTTTTACTGATTTTCGTGGTGATTTTACATCGGCAATCTGTTGACTTTATTCACCCGCGCTTCCTCCTCGGTTGTTCCGAAACGACTCAAATCCACGCATCGGTTATTCCGCAAGCGCTTCATCGGTATAAATTCTGCAAGAACGGAATAGAGGAGGAGGAGGAGGAGGAGGAGGAGGAGGGAGGAAGCACAAGCGAAGGCTCCGATTTGATCCCCTGTGAACAGCGAGCGCGAGAGATTTTAAGCCCCGCATAATTTGTATTTCCGCTGGCCGAATAGCCGGGCGCGCAAACCGTTTATTAATAAACGGCGTGACGATGAGGGGATGAATCGATACGAGCGCGCGACTCGCCGTAAACTCGCATTCTCGCAAGCGTTGAAGTTTCCAAGACGATTATCGTCGTCGTTCGGCGGGTCGTCACGCGCGCGCGTGTGAGTGCTTCCACAGTTCTTTAACACGCTCCGACACTCGCGAATGAAATCGGATCAGCGGCGGGTTTTAGTTACGCCATTTAACGGCCGGTGCGTGCGAAATCCTTTCCGAAATCCTCAATTTGAGCAGCGATGCCGGCGACTACTACCAGTCTCGCAAATAATCGAATGAATCGGGGTTGCCCGCAACATCGCTATTCATTAACGGATAATTCAGGTACGCCGTTAGTTATCCGACCGAGCCCCTGACACACAACGACGGTATATTGTATTAGTGTCAACGCATCCGTTTATTAGCACTGACACAGCGCTACCTAATTAGCCGCCTTTACGACATGGGCGTTAGCTGAAACGAATTATCGAGCTTTCGAGCTTTCGAGCGGACGCGCGCGCGGCAGTCATCGCTCGTCAGGGTCTCGTGGAAAATTCAACCAGTCTCGCTCGATATGAACACGGGAGCGGGTATTAATGGAAATTTCAGACGTTTCGCTTTCGCCCCCCCCCCCTCCCCCCGTCAGTTATAAACAGTGTGTAAACTTCCCTGATACTCGCGCGCGCGCGCGAGAGGGAAAGATAAAAGATAGATTATTGCTGCGATTTTATTATCTTGATTATTTTCCGCTCTCACGCGACTCTCACCGCGTTCCGCCGCGTTTTCCAATTTTTCCGCCTTTCCCACCAGAGCGTACGTCTGATAAATTTCGCGCTCGCGATGTTTTCCCGCGGGCGTCGCCTCATTTGAATCGAAGATAAACGTTGCGCGCGCGCGCGCGCGTATTCGCGAGAAACATTTTGCGGGAGAAACCGATAAAAGATATTAACGTCGTTGAGATCGTTACCGAGTACCCGGTTATGTCGCGCAGCGCGCAATTATTATGGCAGTGTCGTTAGCCGCGCAATGTCCCGATAACGATATCATTACAAAATGGAGCTAATGCCCGAGCCGGCGAACTGAATTTTCCACGCCGAGGCGGCAAAGTGTTTACCGCGCGCGCGTCAGCCGTCGCTGCCGACGGAGGGTGAGTCAGTACTATTGGTTACGACATCCAAGTCGATGGCAACCGGCGATATCGTGATTTAATCAAGGACCATCGTAAAGCAATAATTAATGCCGCGCTGTATCGATTTCGGGCGTAGCGACGCGTTAGGACAGTGTGACGTGTTAATTAGGGGACGCGTTACAGCGCGTTGTTCGCGTGAGCGGACAAGGCAGAGAGAGAGAGAGAGAGAGAGAGAGAGAGAGAGAAAGATAGAGAGACAGAGGGTGGAGAGCAATGGAGACGACGAGGGAGAGAGGGGAGGGGGGAGAAGCGCTATTATGCATGCGCGTATTTACGTAGAAAATTATTCGCGCGAGGAGGGAAACGAATTAACGTCGCCGCGCAATTATTACGAGCCGCGTTTTGCAGCAAACGCTGCGCCGCGTCGCGTCGCGTCGCGTCGCTGTTTCAGCAATAATGACGTCGCCGACGAGCGCTCAACAGCCGCGGAAACTGGCCGCGCCGTGACAAACACTAAACGAGACTTTAACTTCTTCAAATTGGCCATCGTGACTGCCGGGGGAAACTTGTTAAGTCGGACATTTCTCGCGGACGCATCGCGCGCGCGGTGTTAATCGTAACACTTTGTTCTGCGTAACATGTTGCGCAGAGATACTCGCGGTGACCTTTCCTCGCGCGAGTTGTCTGTGACGCGTCCGACGGGAGCACTCGGTGTAACTTTGGCGCGCGCGTTCGACCGTGGAATTAACAAAAATCGCGGGCTCCGTGCGCGAGTTCGCAAACAACTTGCCGGCATTCAACCCCTTGACGGCCGCTGTCACGTGTGCGCGTTCTCGTCCGATCGAGAAGTATGCCAGCCGGCAGTTGACACGGTCTCTCATTCTGATGATTATAAATGACCGATAGATCTTCATTACACCTTGAAATGACGTAAGGCGGCGGTGAAAGTTTCTTCGCGACAAGTGCGGTCGTCAAAGGTCGTCAAGGGAGTGCCAGGAATTTTTTCCTGAGACAAATCGACGATAGTTTGGCCATTCAGCTACTACTGTGATCAAAAAGTATCGGAACATTATTTTTGAAAAATCGCGAGTAAACCGTAAGTCAAATCCGTTTGCTTTCTTAAGTTGGTACACATGTCGTTCATATTTGTTCGCATATGTTGTGCGATTTTTACGACGTCGAAAAATATGGAGCAGAGAATTTGTTTGAAATTTCGTGTTGCGAACGAAATTTCGTTCACAAACGCATTCGAAATGTTGCAAAAAGTTTATGGCGATGATTGTTTGTCGAAAACAAGTACGTTGAGTAGTTTAAGAAGTTTCAAGAAGGACGAGAGGATCCGTTGAAGACGACCCACGCTCTGGAAGACCATCAACGTCAACGGATGAGGGAGGCTCACATTGAGAAAGTGAAAGAACTGATGCTCCAAAATCGTCGATTGACTGTGCGAGAGATAGCAGATGAAGTTGGAATATCATTTGGATCGTGCCAGCACATTTTGTCCAATGTACTGGACATGAAACGGGTCGCATCGCGCTTGATTCCGAAAAACCTGAATTTTCTCCAAAATTTTCTCCAAAAACTCAACGAATGTCGCTCCGCAAACACCGTATTCAACAGACATAGCCCCCTGCGACTTTTTCCTGCTCCTCCTATTGAAAAAACCACTTCACGGACAGCGTTTCGAATCGATTGAGGACATTGAAGAAAAATCGCTGCGTGAATTGAAGGCCATACCGTTTGCCGTGCGCGATATGAGCGATGTCAAACGCTGGCATTTATGCGTTGCGAGCAATGGAAAACTACTTTGAAGGAGACTATAAGCATTTTCACGATTGAATTGTAATTTTAATTTTTAAAAATTAAGTTCGGATACTTTTTGATCACAGTAGTATAGCGCGATAAACCGACGACGACTAAACGCGAGAACAGAATAATTCTTTAATACACACACACACACACACACACACACACACACAAGCGCGCACAACACCACTCGTCTCTGATGCGCGGAGCCGCGCGTTAAGAATCAATCGGCTGCTAGTTCCGCGAGAATGAGTTCTCAGCTCCGACGCGACCGTAATTACTCACGGTCGCAATTAAGACAAGTTACAAGGCCGCTTCCAGCCTGCGCTCGCGCGCATCTCCGTATGTGGGTTAAACGAATCACCCTGCGCTAGCATTCGTCTTCTCGCCTAAGACGACCCTTGCTTACCCTTGCTCTTCCTCCTCCTCTTCCCCCTCCTCGATCCTTCTACTTCTCCCGACAAAGGATTTTCAGGAGTCGCGGGAAATACCGGGGGCTAATTTCTGAAATCGAACTAGCTGCAAGCGGCCGCGCGCGCTCGCGAGAAAGCGGGGGTGCTACACCCATGAATCCCCCGGAAGCCACTATTATTCTAGAGAGGATCGTACGTATTTTACCGCGGTCGGCGCGGCGGCGTGAGAGCGAGCGAGAGAGCGAGGCGCGGGGAGAACGAGCGATATGGGCAAAGAATACAAGAGACTCGCGGGACCACGAGAGTTGGAATGTCGTCCCGTAATATCGGAAATATATCGCCGGGGCTGTAACCACAAGTCATGTTCAATCGAATGAATCGTATGGAATAAAAATAAACCTGCCTACCGTGGAGACGGAAGGTCCAATACCCTCGGCGAGGAGCGTGGCAAGGGGTACGCGCGGCGAGCGCGGAGGGCGCACGGTGTAGGAAGAAATTCGACGAAAAGGAAGACACCGAGGAGAGAGGAGCGAGTGAGAGGGGGAGAGAGGGGGGGGAGAGGACTCGGATCGCCAGCGGGGAACCGTCCGCGAGAGCCTGGCTGAGCGAGAAGAGAGAGAAAGTCAGAGAGAGAAAGAGAGGGGGGGAGGGCAGAGAGAGAGAGAGAGAGAGAGAGAGAGAGAGAGAGAGAGAGAGAGAGAGAGAGAGAGAGAGAGAGAGAGAGAGAGAGAGAACGAGTGGAACGGGGAACTCGAGGGGGATCGAACAAATGTTCCGGCGGCACATGCATCAAATCCTGAAGTTGCGTGAGAGATGGAGTCCCTGCTTGCTCAGCGGCGAGCCGCGATAAAACGGCCGAGTCGAGTTCGCCCTCTTCATCGTCGTCGTCGTCGTCGTCGTCGTCGTCGTCGTCGTTGTCGTCGTCGTCGATGGCGCCAACACCCACCTCGGAACCAAGTTCGAAAGGCATTTAAACTCTCGCGAGCACGGGGGACGTGTACAAAAAGCTCTCGATGGATCGCTCTCCCTGTGATGATGAAACCTCGCCCTCCCTCTGTCTTTAGCATCGTCAAATTAAAATGACTGCGAACGGTGAGAAAGCGCCTGTTTTCTTGCGTTACCGGCGCCGGCGAGTAATCGTCCGCGACGTCTCCGGTTAAGCGATCAACGTCGACGTTCTCGCGCGCGCATCCGTCTTGCCGACGTCGATAG